CTATTCACTTGGTCAACACAATTCACTCTTAATCTCTTACTTTATATATCAAAATTTTATGAAATTTGAATTATTTTTTGCAGGTTGTGTAACAATTTTATTGTAGTTTTTGAATATGTAAATTTTATTTTCAAACAATAATTTGAGTGTTGACATGGATGAATTTACTTTATCATCGGTCAAACATCGTAAACCGTAAAGTGCCTTATAATTCGGGATGGAGATAGTACAATATAAAATATAAAAAAGGCAAGGATAAAAAATGTTTAAATAAAACTTATTACTTAAATAAAATTTAAAATATTACTATTCATCATGTTTAAAAGCGGGAGGAGTTTAATTTAAAATCTACCAAATAAAATGATTTAAAGTTTTCGGCCCAAAGCCCCAAATGTTTCATCCAGTCCATTCTCTACCGCGCGCTCATCTCTACCGCCAGACGGTCGGATGCTATATAGCCCTCTCAGTTTTCAGCTTCTCCTTGCCCTCCTTAGTCGGACGCAGCTTACACGCCGTTCATCTAACATCCCGACCGACCGTTTGAGGTTAGTCGATTATTAATAAGTGCCTTCTTAAGCTGTGGTTTAATACCAACCAATACGCCCACAGTTTCTCCTTAATATGGAGAAGAACCGAATTTTAATGACTCAATGATGATGTCATTGTGACATCAGGCGGGAGCAGTTATCTTAGCCGGTCCAGCTTTTATCTTACCCACAGTTTTTTATTGCTTACTCTATAGAGAAGTTTTGCAGAGTTGTTGGAGTGAAAAAGTAGACACTATTAGTTCAATCCATAAAGTGATAGGCCGAGCATGTTTTTTCCCCTCCATTGGTGGGGATAAGTTGTAAAAAGCTTTAGTTTTGTTACTGGGGAACACTAAATAGGTATGGTTGTCGTCATGGTTAGAGTTGTACCTTATTTTGCAGAACTCCCACTGCATGGACAATCAAGAGTCCCAGTTGGATGCTTTGGGATCACTATCCTTGCACTCCTCATCCTCTAGCCCCTGCAATTCCGAGCCCGAGTAATGAAATTCTCTCCCCCTGCTCCTTCTACGTGTATATTTGTTCCACTATTCCTAGTGCTATTGGCTTTTTGTGATTTATTGTTAGTTGTTTTTTAATCAAGGATGAGTTTGGAGGAGAGATTTGACATTGTTAGGAGCATAGGGGAAGAGTGTATCCAGGACGAAGAGTTAAAGAATCTGTTGGCGAATAAGCCTCAACCAATATGCTATGATGGATTTGAACCCTCTGGTCGGATGCACATTGCTCAGGTCTGTAATTTCTATTATGCCATTGCAATTAAACCGTTGTGCTCAAAGTGTCGCGACATAACCTTTCTCAGATTTTTGGCATTTTGTTTCCATGATCAATATGGTTTTGAAGTGCATTGATCTTCTTGCGACATTTTGAAGATTGTGTCTTCCTCATGAGCTCTATGAATGTAATTGAACAATGGATATAACTCATTTATTTGGAGGAAGTGAATTACCGGCTGCCGAGTTCCACCAAATATTAAATCTGTTTTTGCAGTAGCTCTAATATTAGTAAAGTTGTACTTATTATATCTGTGTGTAGATATGTATTCAAAATGATTTCTGTCATAAGGTATGGTCATTTTAAATTTGTCAATGCCCAATTAGCACATGACATCAATACATCATATGCGCATCGGATGAAAAAGGCAACCGTCTTCATGTTGGAATATTAGGTTTCTTGCATCTGTTTGAAAGAAACTAAGCCTTAATTCGAATAAACAAGCCCTAATATCGAGTAAACCCGATTATACAAACCGGGGTATTATTATTAAAACAATAATCTTTATTCGATTTATCCTTCAGTCGTGAATCTTTTGATCTTCATGAATTTTAGATTTGAGAGTTATTCTTCAACTTATCTGCTGCAACTGAGAGTAGGAGTGCAGCTTGCCTTGATCTCCACACAATCTGCCGCCAGGATTTGGAGTCTTAGTTTTCACCCTATAAACCTGGTTCCTAATGCTGGATAGCCACCCCTCTCCCAGGGCATAGTGCATAAGTGCATTAGTGATGCTTGGGCAAGTGGCAATTAAATGCCAAATTAGTCAAGCTCTAGGAGACAGGAATTCAAGACACATGATTTGGGAGATTTGCCTGTTGATTGAGTGTTAAAGGGTAATCTTGTTAATTATTATGTACCTGGCAGTCTTAGTTTTAGGTGTCATAGACAGTGCTGGCATGATGAGTTGTAGTGGTTGAGAGTCACTCTAGGATATGAAGCGTCTACTGATGGGGGTGCTTCTACAGCTGTCTCCACTGATTAGGATATGTGGTCAAGCTGGTTAGAAAGTGTCTCAACTCTCAACTGAATCTCTTACTGCCTGCAATGCTAGTTGCACCTCCGCACTCCATTTTGCATCTTGTAAAAATTCCTTGGCTTGTCAACTTCTGTTGCTCCTTTAGTATCTCAGTGAGGAGTGTGTAGTCATCAGCAGAAAGCGTGTAATTTCCCATGGCTCCAAAAACAGAATCATAATGTTATGTACCGGGGTTCTTTGCGTCGCTGGAATGCAACATACTACGTAAGTGATGGGAAGGGGAGGTGAAATTTTACAACGTTTTACTTCTCCTTTGGAATTTGGGAATTTTTTCTTCTCCTTGATTCTTCTTAGTTTTTCTTGAATACTTTATTATCATTAGAAAGCTCCCTTTTATAAGAGAGATTACATGCATATGAATGCCAAAAAAAGGAAAGGGAAGTCCTAGAAAATCACTTTCTGAAATCAAATCAGAACATAATCAATCAACTATTACTCCTCAATATTTTGCTTGATTGCTTTTTTATTTTTATTTTCCATCATTTGTAATGGAGCCAAAGGCTCACTATTTTTTGTCTTGAGAATATGATGTAATAAAGCAAAATGGCTCACTGAATTGTCTGCGTTTCTTTGTTATAAAGCAACAGTCAGTCCATGCAATTTTCAACGCGATTTGCACTATGGATCATCCAGAAATAGTCTCTTTGTGCTTTAGTACAAGGATAAGACTGCGTACATCCGACCCCCCTTACCCCACCGAAGGTGGGATCCTTTGCGGCACTAGGGTGATGATGATGATGATGCTCTTCTTTTTCTTTCCGTAATATTATATGGCAGCATGCATCAAAACCCGTGTGAACTTTGAGTTCTATTCCAGCAATTGCCACAAACCTTCAACACCGTAGGTAAAGGGGGACCTTTATGAAAACGAAAGCTTAAAGCAAAGAAATTAAATATTAGAAAAACAAAACAATTAATTTCACGAAACCACTTAATTACCGAATGTTTTGATCGATAATACCTATTTTGTTTTGTACTTTGTATATATTAGTGTATATGAATGTATGAAAATACCACCTCCGTCCCATTTAGTTTGGGACATGGAGTTTGGCACAAATTATAAGGAATAGTTGGATATTGTGGTTGATATTAAATCTTTAAATGTAAGCATGATTAAGCCACAAACCATGCCCAAATTTGGCATAAATAAACATTTTGGATGGCTTAAAAAAGAAAGACAGGACAAACTAAATGGGACAGATGGAGTATTTGTTTAGTAGGCTCTATTTATGAAAAAAAGGCAAAACGAGAAATTCAATGCCTCAATCGTAGGGGCTGAATAGGCCCCATATGTTACTTTGTTTGAAGGTTTAATATATTTAAATTGATTATATAAAGACTTCAAACAAAAAATTACTTCAAATAGGCTTTGATTCTAGTCAGCATCTAGCCATCTGGGCCCCACAAAAAGTCATAACTCATAAGCACCGGTCCACTGCCTACTGGTCCCCAGAGGATTTTGAACACAGATAGTGATTAACTTGTTCTTTTTTCTTCCACAATTTCCACAATTCCACATGCTGCTCTGTGTTTGAAAGATCATCAGTAAAAAGCAATAATATCTAGACCATCAATAAAATGTGGTTGGATGTGTGGTTCTGTGTGTCTTTCTCTGGACTTTATCCAATCCTCCATGAACAGGGTGTTATGAAGACAATTAACGTTAACAAGTTGGTATCTTCTGGCTGCAAAGTAAAGATATGGATTGCAGATTGGTTTGCCCAACTAAACAACAAGATGGGTGGGGACTTAAAGAAAATTCAAGCTGTTGGTCAGTATCTGATTGAGATATGGAAAGACGCGGGAATGAATCTGGAGAGTAACAAAGTTGAGTTTTTATGGTCCTCTGAAGAGATCAATTCTAGAGCTGATGAGTACTGGCCAATTGTTATTGACATTGCACGGAGAAATACGCTTCGTAGAATATCGAGGTTAGTGAACACTCATCTCCTTCCTTTAAAAGGAAAACAGTCGCTGCAAAGTGTCTTGATTTCTCCTTCCTTGTAATTGTCAGATGCTGTCAAATAATGGGTCGCTCTGAACTAAATGTATTGACTGCTAGTGCTGCCCAAATATTCTACCCATGCATGCAGTGTGCAGACATATTTTTCCTCAAGGTAATCTTTGTTGATGTTAAAGTCATTTATCTTTTTGCCTGAATTCTTATGACAAAAGTTATTTATTTATTCATATATTTTGATCACCGTGATAGTTTGCATAATTTTTACGCATATGAAAAGTATCTTTATATATGTGTGCCATACCTAAATAGTCAATGTTGTCATTTGGCCAAATATGTGTGTCGCTTACATCAGACCGTGCGCCTTTTGCACTTCGTGCACATTTTCTGTGCCTGTTAGGTTGCTACGCCGGGCAACTCCTAAAGTGCACAACCTGTTGCGCCTCACCTGGTGCGCCTCACCTGGTGCCCTTAAGCACTCAGGCGCTTGCTTTTAACTACCTTGCCTTAAACTATTCATAGTGTATATAGACAGTAGACCAATAGACATGTAGTTAAAGAGTTGGTGCTGGACATGGCATGAATACCGAGGCCAAATTACCAAATTGGTAAAAAAAAGAGGGTCATTGGACAGATTGGTAAAAAAAACCACTCAAGACATATTGGTAAAAAAAAGAAGCCTTAGTGACAAATTGGTAAATTTTTTGTTAATGATAAACTTTTGATCCTCGACTTTAGAATTCTCGACCTTTCATATTCTAAGTATTTAAAAATTGACATTTTCAGTCCTTTTACTTTGATTCCATCATCAAAAGTGGAAGTCTAAAAATATCAACGATTGTGTTTGATAGTAGCATTTATCTGGTAGCTAATAGCCGGTTGAATCAGCATATCGATAATAACGGATTCCATTAGCTTTTATAACTAACCGTTTTCATTAGCGTTTGAAATAAAATGTTAGTAACTTAATTGTTTGCGATTAAATGTTAAAACGTAAAATGACTAATGACCATTAAAGATATGAATTTAAAAGTATAATTTTATTTTAACGTTATATATTTTATTTTTAAAAAGTCTTTGAAAAGGTTTTGAAAATTATATTTACATTTATTTTAAATAACCATGGAGTAATTGTTTTTAAAAAAACTACTCGTAATAAATAGTCATATGGAGTAGAATTCTGGAGTAGATTTTTTAAATGGAGTAGACTTAAAAAAACTAATAAATAGTCATATTAAAAGTATTATTACTAAAAGTATATGAATTTATATTTGTGTGCTTGCATTAATGTAAATATCTTTAAAATGATATTGTTAGTAACTATTTAAATTTTAAAATAAACGTAAACATAATTTTTAAAACTTTTTCCAAAACTTATTAAAAATAATAAGAAATAAAATTAATTTAAATATATAAACTTTTAAATTTATTTTTTATTGTCATTTTAATTTTGAAACACTAATTGCAAATTCGAAGTTACTAACATTTTATTTCAAACCGATAATGAAAGTGGTCAGTTAAAAAAGCTAATGTATCCGCTAATATCAATCTGTTGATTCAATCGGTTATGAGCTAGCAGACAAGTAATATGCTCAAAAACCTTCACTTTTGATAACAAAATCAAAGTAAAAAGATTGCAAATGTCAACTTCACAATACTTAGAATATGAAATGTCGGGAATTCTAAAGTCGAGGATCAATAGTTTATCGCTCACAAAAAATTGACCAATTTGTCACTAGGTCTTCTTTTTTTACCAATATGACTCAAGTTGTTTTTTTATATACCAATTTGTCACTAGGCCTGGATACTGATAATGCTGAAAAATTGTTAAGTATTCCTCTGTTCTATTGCTATTACAGCTCTTATTTATTTATTTATTTATTTATTTATTTATTTATTTATTTATTTATTTATTTATTTATTTATTTATTTATTTATTTATTTATTTATTTATTTATTTATTTATTTATTTATTTATTTATTTATTTATTGATTTATTTATTTATTTATTTATTTATTTATTTATTTATTTATTTATTTATTTATTTATTTATTTATTTATTTATTTATTTATTTATTTATTTATTTATTTATTTATTTATTTATTTATTTATTTATTTATTTATTTATTTATTTATTTATTTATTTATTTATTTATTTATTTATTTATTTATTTATTTATTTATTTATTTATTTATTGTTTATTTTTTATTTATTTATTTATTTATTTTATTTATTTATTTATTTATTTATTTATTATTTAATTTAATTTATTTATTTATTGGCTCTGGACATTGTTTAGTGTATTTGGATGCAACGTCTCCATAGCAAGGTCATTTCCGTATTAAAGACTAGTACCATGTGTGTTAAATTTTGGGCTTAAACTGAACACAAAGGTGTTGATGTGCGGGTTCAAGTCTTGAGAGTGGTCTCTTGTAAATTATTTGACAGGGGAAGGCCCCTTATACACCCTTGTGGTCGGACCCTTCCCTATACCCTCGCCTCGCAAGAGTGACTTCATGCACCCGGCTGCCCCTTTTATGGACAGAACCCCAATGTTTTTCTCATTTTCACATTTAGATGCATACATCCTTGAATATATTGTGTGTGCAACTCACTGATACCTTTTTCCTAGCAGGCTGATATCTGTCAATTGGGAATGGACCAGCGAAAAGTGAATGTGCTTGCAAGAGAATACTGTGAAGATATAAAGAGGAAAAACAAGCCCATCATTTTGTCTCATCGTATACTTCCACATCCTTTTTGTTCAAATTCAAAATCAATACACCTTCTGTCCCTAAAGACTTTCACATTCCTTTTCCTGCATGTCCAAAATTATCCCTCATTTTCTCTTCTCCAACTAAAAATGTTGTTTAGATTATTTTTCTCCCTTTTATGAATGCAGTTTTCATTTTCTTGAATTTTGTGCCTGTATAAATTGATTTTTTTGGGACATGAATAATACTCCCTCCGTCCCTTAAAACTTTGTCATATTTCCTTTTTGGGACGTCCCAAAAAACTTTGCCACTTTCCCTTTTAATCAATTACTTTGTGGTTTCTGTTATTTCTCTCTCCTCTGCACAAACCTCAACCACACGGTTTTTACTTTATTATTCTACATGCCGGTCAACTTTGGCAAAGTTTTAAGGGACAGAGGTAGTAACAATTTTGTAAATGTGGAATTTGTTTGGGAGCTTTATTTTTTCCCTTCACTGATATTTTGGCATGCAGATATGTTGCCTGGCTTGCAGAAGGGTCAAGAGAAGATGTCCAAAAGTGATCCGTCATCCTCCATTTTCATGGAAGATGAAGAGGTAGTGCATAGTTGATGCCATTGATTCTATCAACACAGTTGGATGTCATTGACTACTCAAATCAGACATTTGGTCTTTTTATTTTTTTTTTGATGTTATAGGCAGATGTGAATCTCAAAATAGAGAAGGCTTTCTGCCCTCCCAAGGTTGTAGAGAAAAATCCGTGTCTAGAATACATCAAGTACATCATCTTTCCCTTATTTAATGAGTTCAAGGTGGAGCGAAGTCTAGAGAATGGTGGTAACAAGTAAGACATGTTGGTTGTTTTGCCATCGAAAGTGTTTTAGGTTTCATCGTAATAGTACTTTACTTTAGCTTAATTTTCATTAATATTTGAAAAGCTTGCTCTGCTGGTCCAGTTAGAACTTTATGAGAAGTGATTATCACCCTCGCATCACTTGTTATTAACTTATTATTCACGTGCAGGACCTTCTCGACTTTCGAGGAACTTGTTACTGACTATGAATGTGGTAGCTTGCATCCTGCTGACCTTAAACCCGCTCTCTCAAAAGCTCTGAACAAGATCCTGCAGGTACACACGCTTTTTACCACTGTTTGGAAATATTTGGGGAAAAAATAGCTAGGGAAATATTAGAGATTTTTGGAAGGGAAGAAAGTGTTAAAAAATTGAAATATTATTTCAAACTCAATAAAAACATACTCACGTATAATATTTGTTCAAGGGACGGAGGGGGAGTATGAGTTCTACCCTTTTTAATGACATTAATGTAACTAGTTTTGCTTTTCAAAAAATGCGACTAACTTCAAAAGCTCGTCAAGTTTATTATAGTTTATTATTGTCCCTCTAACATCTACAAAATTGCTCCAAGCTACCCCTTGGATTTTTTTTGATAGCCCCTGATGGGAACTCCAAATTCCCAACAGTAATTTAACGTATATTAGTAAGGAAGAGTGCAGAAACGGGGAAGAAGAAAAGACAGACGAGGCTCTTTGTGAGGCCACCTTTATTCTACTCCCTACTCTTATTTATAAAATTTCCATCATGGGCCGGCCCAAAGCTAACCAGTACTTGGCCCAAAACCCTCTTTATACATATTTAATATAATTCTATCATTCTTATTATTATTGGCTATTCAGGTTCCTATTATATCTCCCCCCTTGAACAACCACCTTGTCCTCAAGGTGGATGACAGGAAACAACCCCGGAAATCACCTTCATCTTGGCTCCTCTCCCTTTCCAGTACATCACTGCTTTTTGGACCTTTAGCTTCAATACTTGATCCTTCATCTTCATGTTCTTCACCTTAGGGTTTTCACGCCATCCAAGTAATTCCTGAATATCATTGCAGTCATCACCTTGGAGGGTTAATCCTTCAGGTTGCTCTAAAACTTCCATTTCTGTTGCTATATAGTTTGGACAACCAGATGACAGAATAGTCAAAGAAACACAAACATTAAATTGACTTCATGGATGTTGTCATCTGGCACTTGTTCAACCCCACCATGGACACAGTATCTCCACGATAAGGCAGTGGTTCAGCAACGAGTTTGGCAGCATAAACAGATGATGGCACTTGAACTTGCAGCTCCACAAGAGTGGGCTCAACCACACACTCATCAACCGAGTCATTTTCTGACTTTTTCACAAAGCCCTCACAATATCTTACTACCTCCTTGCAAAACAAATCTTATTACCTCATTATCTGTAGTGGTCTCAGGCAAATTATCTTGTGTAAGTACTTGTGAGGAACCATCAGATAGAACAATTTCATCAGCTAACAAGCTCTCTTTCTCTGAAACTAACTTATAACTGATTTGCATTATCTGTAATACCGTCTATTGACTGATTTTTAAATTGTTGAGCTGTTTCATTCATTGGAGCTTCACCAACACAATAAGCACTTTGGTACAACAGAACTTGGTTATCAGAATCTGTGTCCGACAAGATAAATAAGCCTGGGGATAAAACTGGCTTAGCCATCCATAAGCCAGAAATGTCATCACGGTTGTACATCTGAGGTGGGGCATCACGTATCTCCATCATTTTTTTAGAAATAATGTAATCACCTCCCCATTTATATAAAAAAAATATCACCAGTTTCTAAATAGTCATTACCTGGACCACCTGGCACCACAGATTGAACAACACACATTCCAGTTTCACTCAGTGGGGGGGAACTACACACAAACTGCTCTGTGTCGCTTTGTCGAGTTCCTAAGAGCTATACCTTTGTTTTCCAAGGATCTTCCAGATTAACAGGTAGAGTTCCCGTAGGTTGTGACATATCCTCTTCAGGCTCCGGCAGAGAGCCTGGCTCCGGGACTGAAGGTGCAGCTGTCTTTAATTCTGTATTCATTATCGTTGGTTGAGTCCCCTGCGATCCCTTGCCTGGTGCGACTAAGTGGATGGTTCAGGAAGCAGATGAATCTGGCGCAAGGTGAGGAATGGCAAGCGACGATGAGCTGTGAGATAAGGCAAGTGAGGAAACCTGCAAAGTGGAGGCATCGGCTACCGATGAAGCTTTCAAACTTGGAGTTACAGCTTGCAACGAACCTGCGGAGTGCGGACTGGAAGAATCTTCTAGCGACGATGTAAAAGCCTGGATTGCAGAATTCTGACAACGGCGAACCGTCCTCAATTGTGCTCGCCGTAGGGGGATGCTGTTTTTTCAGCTGGTTAAACTTGTCGACCACCGTCTTTTGTTCCTCATCCATAATCTTGACCATCCTTGATCGTCTTTCAGCCAACTTCCGTTCAAATTTCTCCAATCGCTGCTCCGTCGATGCTCTGGCCATGAACGATTCCGACTTTCTGTCTCCAGGAAGGTGTCTCCAGGAGCGAGTGCTCTGATATCAATAATAGGAACTTCAATTCGTAACAATAATTTAATGTATGTTAGTGAGGAAGATTGCAGAAACGGGAAAGCAGAAATGACAGACGAGGCTCTTCGAGAGGCCTCACTCTCCTACATCCCGATTCCAACTAATTTCTGCCCACCTTTATTCTACTCCCTACTCTTATTTATAAAATTTCCATCTTTTGCCGGCCCAAAGCTAACTAGTACGTGGCCCAAAACCCTTTTTGTACATATTTAATATAATTCTATTATTCTTATTACTAATGGCTATTCAGGTCCCTATCAGCCCCTTGGACTCTCACCTTTATTGTTTTAAATTGTTCCCTGAGTTGAACTGTACTTCAGGAACACTGTTAAGAGTGATGCAGGGGAGATTAAAACATGTGGTTGATCATCCGATGCCTAGAATTGTTGACATTTTCGATTTGTTGGTTTCACCTCCGATCATCTCATTATTCTCTTGGCATGAGGGAAACTTCATTGTCCGGTTCCTATAATATCTCCCCCCTTAGACAACCACCTTGTAATCAAGGTGGGTGATAGGAAACAAACCTGACACTCATCTTCATCCATGTGCCTCGCCCTTCCCAGTGCAAAATTGATTTCTGGACCTTTAGCTTCGGTCCTTGATCCTTCATCATCACTACCTCAGGCCAACATTTTTCTAAAATCTTCACAACCTTTTCATATATCTCATTGTTGTCCTGAATCTATTATAGTGATGAAGTTCTGAGAATTCCTTAACCTATTGCAAGGGTAATTTGAAATCAACGTAAACAGAAAATAGAAAGAGAAGTAACAAGTTCGAGACACTTCAAGACTTCAAGTCGCCTCACTCTCCTAGCCTAATTCCCACTCAAATTCTGTCTAACCCTTATTCCTCCCTTCCCTTCTATTAATACTACTGGTACAATTTATTACTCCCTTTGTCCCATTTTGGTTGTCCTAAAATGAATGTCCTATTTCCTTTTTTTGGCAAGATTTACGTGGTCCTTATCATTTGACTTTATTCTACCCAAATCTCAACCACAACTTTTACTTTTCAACCACTTTATTAATAGTCGTGTCAAATTAAAACAGGCAACCGATATGGGATGGAGGTAGTATTATTTTTATTATTAGCACTAATCTGCCCGGTTCCTATCATTTTTTTTAAATCACTGGAATAAGTTGTTGGGGCAAGTCTGAAACCGCTGCCGGCTACCCGGACAGTTTACCAAAAACGTTCTGACAAATCGTCATAAAAGTCCTAATGATTTGTTGCCTTAGTCGCACCGATGTGTTCAACTGTGGCAGTGACATCCGCGGTGTACCCAACAGTGGCAGTAGTGATAGTGGCAGTGACATCGGCAGTATACACTGCATTGGCACCATTGATAGTGGCATTATAAATGGCACTGACACATATAGTTTTACAATTTTATTACCTTGTGAGCTACCTTTTTATCCGTATATGAATGGAGTCACCTTATGGAGTTGTAATATCTTCCATTGCTTTTCCTGAGGTAATCCAAGCATACAGAAATAACATGCTTTAGCATTTTCTTTCCTTTCCCTAGCATTTTCCCAGATCCAAACGTATGGTTACATTTTTAGCATCTTTTCAAACATTTGATGTGTACTTGGACGATGAAGTCCAAGATAGGTGCCTTTCAAGAATTTGGTTTAGTTTTTTCATTAGAAGTGAGAAAACAACAGGCCTACATTTAGGAATATATATTTTCTTAAACATCTTTCATGTGCTATGCACAGCCTGTGCGTGATCATTTCAAGAACGATTTCATGGCAAAGGAACTTCTTATGAGGATAAAGGTATGTGTTCTCAATTTGGATCACTGAATTATTCTAAATTTAGCATTACTGTGGAATACAAGTGTAGTGATTTTCTTTTTCCATAGCTACCAAGCTACCAGGTAATGCAAATGGAAATAAGATATGCGTCTTCAAACCCTCCACTTTAGAGCGGAAAACTAGATTTTTTATTACAGATTAAAGATGTGCTTCTTCAAACCCTCCACTTTAGAGCGGAAAACTAGATTTTGTTATTACAGATTAAAGACGTTTTGCTTGGTTATTTTGGAGATTGTTCTAGACTTCTGGAGTGTTCTGCGTTGACATTTCAAGCAACAAAAAGGGCTACATTTTTTATTTATAAACTTGTAGAATCAACATAACGTCATCTGTAGCACCTCAGAATAGACTAAATCGACTAGATGGTATTATAAAAGTGAGCAGTGCTTGGAACTAGGCATGGACCTGGTCTGGAACCGGGTCTGGTACTGTGCGGGACTGGATCGGGTCCGTTTTTCCGGTTCTGAGCAAAACCCGGGTGTCCGACCAGGTGTATGGGGTAGCCGGTTCTGGTTCAACGATTTGGGGACCTAATGGTATTTTTATAGGCTTGGAACTGGGCAAAACGTTTAAAAAAAATAAACGGAACCGGGTCCGAGACTGGACTGCCTAGGTACCTGGAATTGACCTACATGGCTACACCTGGAATTATACAGGTAGGACTTGGGCTTGCCAATTTTTTACAGGGACTGGGCAGCCTCAGCTCGGAACTAGGACCGGACAGACCTGGATCTATCCCTACTTGGAATATATAATAGCCTTGGAGATTTGTTACAACAAAAACTGGAATGCAGGGGTCAAAATACATTACTTCTTTTATTTAACGGATTCCATACTACAGTTTTTTTGTGAAAAAATTATAAGAAGTTGAACTTAAAAGAACAAAATAGGAACTTGGTCACACTGTACACAGAAAATTAGCGTGTCTATTGTTTACCCTATTTGATGGGCTATACTAACCTGGCCCACCACTTAGCTCATGTTGCCCTAGCCCGCCACATGGCCCGGCCCTGATCTAGGGTTTCAAAATAGAGGACAGCCAGCCGGGCCAGGTAATATGCTCAATTATTATTTTTGAATTCAGAGTTTCGGACAACTCTAACCTCAGGTAACTCACGATCATATGCTTGCAGAAGCAGTCATCCATGGACAATCAAGAGCCCCAGTTGGATGCTTTGGGATCACTATCCTTGCACTCCTCATCCTCTAGCCCGTGCAGTTCCGAGGCCGAGTAATGAAATTCTCTTCCCCTGCCTTTCTATGTGTATATTTGTTACACTGTTCCTAGTGCTATTTGTTTTTTGTGATTTATCGTTAATTGTTTTTTAATCAAGGATGGGTTTGGAGGAGAGATTTGATATTGTTAGGAGCATAGGGGAAGAGTGTATCCAGGACGAAGAGTTAAAGAATCTGTTGGCAAATAAGCCTCAGCCAATATGCTATGATGGATTTGAACCCTCTGGTAGGATGCACATTGCTCAGGTCTGTAATTTCTGTTATGCCATTTCAATTAAACCGTTGTGCTCAAAGTGTCGTGACATAACCTTTCTCAGTTTTTTGGCATTTTGTTCCATGATTCATATGGTTTTGAAGTGCATTGATCTTCTTGTGACATATTGAAGATTATGTCTTCCTCATGAGCTCTATGAATGTAATAAAAAAATGGATATAACTCATTTTTCGGAGGAAGTGAAATTCCGGGTGCTGAGTTCCACCAAACTAGTATAGTATCCGTGCGATGCACGGGATATTATTTAACTCTATGCATAATATCCAAATTATTTAAAATTAAGTAACTATATTAAATAAAATTTAAGTTAATTCAGTTCAGAGTTATACAACCATCAAAATGTTTGACCAGACCAGCAAATTACCGTCCAAGTAAAAACATCCTAATTTGTCAGTCAGGTCTGATCTGAACTGGTCTGGTTTCTTTGTATTTTTATAAGTACCCAAGTCTGGTCTTATCTGGTATTTTTTTTTTTGAAAATTGTTTAACGGGAATAACATATGCTCATGACCACTATAATAATGTGAAAGGTATAATTGTATAAACTCAAACCATTTCAAAGAATAATAAGCTATTGATAAATGAAAAAAAGTGATGGTTATCCATTCAATTTTTATTGCTGAATATTAACTAATTATTAACATTTTGTTTTATTAACATTATACGGTATCTTGCTTGTATATATTTCAACCCAAAAGTATACCATATTGCTTAAGCGCAAATTTTAAAAAGGCTAAAGGGTTAAATAGGCCCTTGAACTGACTTAAAGTGTTCAATTAACCCCTTATATAGGAGGTTCTGCCCGGCCGTCGCCAATTGGGGCGGTTCCTGGTGGAACTTTTGATGAAATTTTTGAGATGAATAAGATGCTCAAAAAAATTCATCAAAAAATTCCACCGGGAACCGCCCCAATTGGCGACGGCCGGGCAGAACCTCCTATATAAGGGGTTAATTGAACACTTTAAGTCAGTTCAAGGGCCTATTTGACCATTTAGCCTTTTAAAAATATGTCGTTCGTATATATGATTAACATTTCACACTTGTCGAGACACAATTTTGATCATTAATATATATAATTTTGTATTAGTAATAAATTAAAAAGATTAGATTTTGAAAATTCACAATGAGGTAAATTTAACAATATTTTTTCATAAAAAAATATTAATGCATAATAAATAAAATGTAACCAAAGTAGAACATGTGAATAGTGCATAATTCAACATGTAGCATTTATTTAAGAACAGGGATAGTATTACAATATCAGTTCTATCCAGAAAATTGATAACGACTTTTGGGGCGGATGAAAAAGAAAGAAAAACAGAGAAAAAAGACGGGCGCGTGCTCCTTTTTTGGTGCGGATGATGTCATGCCGATGTCATCCCTGCATCATAATATCCCAAAAAATTTAAACTTGTATAACTTTTTATTTTTTATCCAAATTTTTCAAAAAGTATATTAAAATTCACAAATTTTTATGATCTTTCATATGACACCAATGTGTAATATATAAAATGATTTTTTTTGAAGTTTTAACTGTTGAAGTTTTCTTGAGCCCCAGAAAAACATGAAACACAAATTTTTAATTCATGGAGCCTTCACAAATAATTGAATATTCCATAATCAAACTTTACTTGAACTAAGTTCAAACTTTGTTAACCAAAAAACGTTTAAAAAATTAATTAAATTTATTTATTTTTACATCGAAATATGTATTTTTTATTTCATAATTATTCAACGAAAAAATTAAAAGGAAAACATTACTTATAATAATTTAACTAATGTTTTTCTATGTTGATAGGTTAAAATATATGCTGATATATTATTGACAGTGCTAGAATACAGGAAAGTGAGAGTTTAAACATTATTTTCATATGGACGAAGTCCATTTTTAACAATTTATCTCTCAACTACTCCAAATGGTGTTATGATGCAGCTAAGCTCTCTCGATCTTTCTTCTTTAATGGTGGTTTCCATCGCACACAATTTCTAATTTGTAAGACTTTATGCGTTGGCTTTACTAATTTTGCAGACCATCAGACTAAATTTCGAAGCTCTTTTATTTCGTGGGCTACTGGCTTTGTGTTGGTTTTGTTTTTTAAAATTCAAAGCTCTTTTATTAAAGCATCTATTGCTTCAAGAAAAATCAATATACTTACTTTTCAAATTTTGTTTTTAATCATAGGGTGAAGATGTGAAAACATGTTTGCAATTGCATTTGCGGCTAGTTGATACGAAGTGTAATAAAAAAGAGGCTGTACCTGCTTATATCTGCTTAACAAAACCTCACTGTACATGTCTTTTTAGTACAGGGTACTATTTTTGACCATAGGGTCTAAATATAAGAAGCTTACTCATAAGTGTTGTAATATGGATCAATTCATTACATAAATACTTACTCCGTATAACACAATGACCTTTTTAATTCATGCTACAATCAATTAAATTCAGTAAATCATGATTTGATTTACTTTCTGATACATATATAGAAGAAAAAAAGAATGTCTGTTATATCTAAATTCAAAAATTTTAGACATTAAGCTATAAATGTACTTCTTGCTACCATTTATTTATTAAGAAAAAGGTCGGCATAATAAGCTCAGATTAGTGACATTGGTGTTGAATTTTCTTTGTTCCCCCAGCTAACTCAATTGACAGTCAATATTCCCAGTTGCACCTACTGTATGAAAACCACTCTAAACATTGATTTAAGCTGTAAGGGCCTAAGAATGTTCTTTAAAAAATCTCATGCAAAATTACCATAATTGGGAGCTGGAACAAACATATTCTTAGTCCCAATTAATGTGTATTCAACTTTATGCATTTTTCGCCCTCTCCACAACAACACATGCATCCAAACGTTGAATAGCTTCAAATCTTCAAAGAGATAAAACGTTACTTTTTTGTGTTTCAACATAAATAGTTCTATAGAAAAATACGTAGCAAATAGAAAATCATATACGTGCTCCTGATAATACCAAAAATACATATGCTTTTTGACAAAAAAAATACGATTTTGAAAATACAAACCATCCCATGAAGTCATTGATGGTAGCTACTTAACTAAAACGATAGTTGTGTAAAAAAAAAACTAAAACGATAGTTTAAGACATTCTTGATATTTTAATTTGTTAGAATACATATATTAGTTGCAAATTATGTATAGGAAGTATGTGCATGGATGTTAAAATTTTGGTTTTGTGTCAACGGAATAGAGTAAAGAACCTATAAAAAAATGTATACACTTGAGCCTCTTTTTAAAATTATATAAATGCAAAACCTAATCATACGTCTGAAATGAGAATAATCAATATTTTGGGGACTCTACTTAGTGTTACCCTTACATGGCTAAAAGTTAAGAAATCCTTGCTAATCAAAAAATGAAGTGATGAACAGTGCATAAGATACTACATAACAATACCTTGACATTCATTTTCTCACAACTACAAACTTGAGCGCGGTCATACCTGTATCACTTAAATTTAAAAAACACTGAAGTAAAATAATTATGATTTAGACCAAAATTTCAAATTAAATACAAAAAACTAATCAAATTACTCCAAGAAGAGTTTCTTTTTACAATTTCAACTCCACTTATTAATTATAAAAGTACTCTGAATTTCAACGCTCAGAACTTTAAATGGGCGCAGGCTAGGTTGAATATACAAATATAAATATAGTAGATAACCTATCGAGTCCAAAGATAAATAAACAAATATATACAATAAGTGCTTTATTAATAATCATTTTTGGAATACTTTGAAAACTGTTTATTAAACTGCTATATCTAGAAATTAAGGGTAGTCATCAAAGTAATCGTCAATTATAGAGAATAGAAGAACACTACCTTCAAATTATGGTTGATTGGGTGACCATATAGCATCCCAAATTTCTAATCCGTTTGAAGCATATTCCATTTTTGTTGAAATGAGAATCAAAGAATGTAGGTTTCAACATTCGTTTCATTGCATTTCTGAAGGCGGTGAGTATAAAAGAAATAAAAGAAAAATAAATGAATAATATGTGATAAAATGAATTTGATTAATTCATAGCACTCACCTCTTTAAGAGATGAATTACATTAAGCTGCATGTTTTCATTTTACAGATAAAGGATCGATGCCGGATTGCCTGTACTGGTTTTGGCGTGATTAAGTCTCATTTGATGTTTATATATAGGTTTATTTATATAGAAATATCCTACTTGAGCCCCGCCATTCCGCCAACCACAATTCATTTGGTTTTGGGAAGCACAACATGCGCATAAAATAAAATAGCACAAAATATTAAATGAAATATGTTCTTTTAATTACACTCTAGTGCACTATGTCGTAATAATAAGTATTACTCCCTCCGTTCTTTAATATAAGTCCTTCTTTCCTTTTTGGGACGTTTTTTTTTATTTGTCCTCCTTTCCATTTAAGGAAAGTTTTTACTTTAAATATACCTTTATACCCCCACTTTTATTACCATTACCCCTTTCTCTTTCCTACTTTTTCATTTACCCACTACTCATTATACCTTTTACACTACCCCTACTATTTTCCTCTTAAAACCCGTGCCAAAGCCTAAGAGGACTTATATTAAAGAACGGAGGGAGTAGTAATAACCGAATTCCAAAAGCAACCATCCTTTATTGGGACCACACTTTAAAAAAAATTGTAAATACGAAGTACCATTCAATATATAATATAATATCATAATAACTTTAATAAGGGACAATGCATTGGAATGCAACGGCTGAATTGGCAGCAACAATGGCTCACTGGAGAAACACAATACGGAGAAGCTAGACAGTCTCCAAACACAATAATTGCTGTGTTTTAAGAATTTCAATAGTTGGAGTTCATTATTCTAGGCTGCAATTAATATACCGCCCCTACCCCATTGCATTTTTATGCTACGATTTTTCCCGCCCATTCTCCCCCAAATCCTCCTCTGCACTTTTCCGTTTTACTATATAATATAGATACAAAATCTGTTTTTCAGTAGCTCTAATATTAGTAAAGTTGTAGTTATTATATCTGTGTGTAGATATCTAGTCAAAATGATTTCAGTCGTAAGGTATGGTCATTTTAAATTTGTCAATGCCCAATTAGCACATGACATCATATGCGCATAGGATGAAAAAGGCAACCGTCTCCATGTTGGAATATTTGGTTTCTTGCATCTTTTTGAAAGAAACTAAGCCTTAATTCAAAATAAACAAGCCCTAATCTAGAGTAAATCCTATTATACAAACCGGGGTATTATTATTAAAACGATAATCTTTATTCGATTTATCCTTCAGTCGTGAATCTTTTGATCTTCATGAATTTAAGATTTGAGAATAATTCTTCACCCTATCTGCTGCAAATGAGAGTAGGAGTGCTGCTTGCCTTGAGAGTAGGAACCAGGTTTTCTCCCATCATTTGCAATGGAGCCAAATGCTCACTATTTTTTGGCTTGGGAATTTGATAAGGATACGTCTAGTCTAAACAATAAGAATAGATTTAACTATTTAAGGGGCAAGTCTATAGGGGTTGACAACAGCCTCTAACTAATAACTACTAGCCAGGCTCACTAAAAATATCTGACACTAAATGTGAAAAGAATAAAATCCCTTTTTTGTAAATAAAAAAAAGAATGTATGAAAATACCACCTCCGTCCCATTTAGTTTGGGACATGGAGTTTGGCACAAATATTGAGGAATAGTTGGATATTGTGGTTGATATTGAATCTGTAAATGTGAGCATGATCAAGCCACAAACCATGGCCAAATTTGGCATGGTATAAACATTTTTGGATGGCTTAAAAAAGAAAGGCCCCATTTAGTCTTTAATTAAGAAAAAAGGCTGAATTTCTCATTTTAACTTTTTTTCTTAATTAAAGCCTGAAAAAAAGGCTTTAAAAAGAAAGGCCCCGTTTTTTCTTTAATTAAGAAAAAAAGGCTGAAAAAAGCCTATTCAGTCCTTACAATTGTGGCACTGAATTTCTCGTTTTAACTTTTTTCTTAATTAAAGCCTACTTTAATTTGGCAAAATTTGGCATGGTATAAACATTTTTGGATGGCTTAAAAAAGAAAGGCCCCATTTTTGGATGGCTTAAAAAAGAATAGGCCCCATATGTTACTTTATTTGAATTTTTAATATATTTAAATTGATTATACTAAGACTTCAAATAAAAAATTACTTCAAATAGGCTTTGATTCTAGGCAGCATCTAGCCATCCGGGCTCCACAAAAAGTCGTAGGCACTGGTCCACTGCCTACTGGTCCCCAGTGGATTTTGAACATTGGGTTTGAAAGATCATCAGTAAAAAGCAATAATATCTAGATCATCAATGAAGTGTGGTTGGATGTGCGGTTGTGTGTGCCTTTCTCTGGACATTATTCTCATCACATCAACATCAAATCCTCCATGAACAGGGTGTTATGAAGACAATTAATGTTAACAAGTTGGTATCTTCGGGCTGTAAAGTAAAGATTTGGATTGCGGATTGGTTTGCTCTACTAAACAACAAGATGGGCGCGGACTTGAAGAAAATTCAAGTTGTTGGTCAGTATCTGATTGAGATATGGAAAGCTGTGGGAATGAATCTGGAGAGTAACAAAATTGAGTTTTTATGGGCCTCCAAAGAGATAATTTCTAGAGCTGATGAGTACTGGCCACTTGTTATGGACATTGCACGGAGAAAAACGCTACATAGAATATTGAGGTTAGTAGTGAACATTCATCTCCTCCCTTTAAAAGGAAAACTGTCGCTGCAAAATGTCTCGATTTCTCCCTCCTTGTAATTGTCAGTTGCTGTGAAATTATGGGTCGCTGCTATGCACAAGATGAATTGACTGCTGCCCAGATATTCGATGTATCGACTGCTGCCCAAATATTCTACCCATGCATGCAGTGCGCAGACATATTTTTCCTCGAGGTAATCTTTGTTGATGTTAAAGTCAATTATCTTTTGCCTGAATTTGTATAACAAAAGTTATTTATTTATTCATATATTTTGATCACCATGATAGTTTGCATATTTCCTACATCTATGAAAATTACCCTTATATATCATATATGTGCAATGTGCCATACCTAAATAGTCAATGTGTCATTTGGCCATATATGTGTGTAGCTTACACCATACCGTAATCCTTCTGACCTAGGGGCATTGAGCATGTGCCTTTGCAATGTGCACTTCGTGCGTGTTTTCTGTGCCTGACAGGTTGCTACATCGAGAAACTCTTAAAGTGCACAACTTTGGTTGCGCCTCACCTGGTGCTCTTAAGCACTCAGGCGCTTGCTTTTAACTACCCTGCCTCAAACCATTCATAGTGTATTGAGAGTTGAGACAGTAGACCAATAGACGTGTAGTTAAAGAGTTGGTGCTAGACATGGCATGAATACTGATAATGCTGAAAATTGTTAAATATTTCTCTGTTCTATTGCTATTACAGCTCATATTTATTTATTTATTTATTTATTTATTTATTTATTTATTTATTTATTTATTTATTTATTTATTTATTTATTTATTTATTTATTTATTTATTTATTTATTTATTTATTTATTTATTTATTTATTTATTTATTTATTTATTTATTTATTTATTTATTTATTTATTTATTTGTTCGTTCGTTCGATCATCGATCATCGATTCATCGATTCATTCATTTATTCATTTATTTATTCGATCTGGACATGTGTTAGTGTATTTGGATGCAACTTCCCTATAGTCAGGTCATTTTCGTATTAAAGACTAGTACCATGTGTGTTAAATTTCGGACTTAAACTGTACGCCAAGGTGCTGATGTGCGGGTTCAAGTCTTGGAAAAGATTTGACAGGGGAAGGTT